AATGCAAACAAAAAAAAACGAAAATGCAACTCCGAAATCTAGAGATCAAAACCTTTAAAAAAACCGGAGATGCATATTCAGATTATTCTATAACTCATAAGAATGAAAGTGACAGAAATTCTTTTGAATCAAATATTCAAATAAATGCATTAATAATTCAAACTACTTATCAAACACGTTTCTTAGTTAAATAACATATTTAAAATACCTATTACATAATATATTGCTCAATTTCTACAAATGTATATAATAGGAGGAACAAAATTGAAGGGGTCTATAGGAACAAACTGCATGTTATCAAATTGCCGCATGACACGTTCAGGCATATGTGAATACATCAGATGTTACCCAGAGGCCAACCATCAAGAGTATAAGGCTATTTTCTCCAAGGGATGAGTTTGATGGGGATCAGTTTACATTTAGTAGTGTATATCTTAGACTACCAAGCAATTAAGATACGCTCTGAAGGGCTTCATATCGTGATTTCCTAGCATGACACCTCGGGTGAGTTTTAACTCATGCAGGGCACCCCCTGTGTCAACTCCTAGATAGACCACCATCATCTTCATTACCTCATCTTTGACAACCTTGTTATGGCATAACAGTCTCCCCTAATCGAAAGATGTAGCAGGCATGAGACATTGTTTAATGTGATGGACATCTGACCATATGGAAGATGAAAAGATTACGTCTGTGAGTGCCATCTCTCCACAAACATGGACAACATACCATAATTAATCGTAATATAATCATACACAAGTCTCGTAGCACGGTCAGAATATAAAGGAGATCACGAACATTCGCCAAACCCATGGGGTGCCTTTACATGTACTGGTGGGGGTTTCTTAGCCTCACGAGGTGACACCTGCCTCATACGGGAAGGCAAAGGTGGAGATGCATGAGACCTCAAAGTTGACACCTCTGCATCAACCGAACTAGTATCAACATGTGCATGCAATGATCAAGCTCTTTCTCTTCGAACTGAGGCAAGCATTATACAAATGAACCATAATGCATATATTAAACCATGCAAGCATTATACAAATTAAACACAATGAAATGAAGTCAAACAATGCAGATAGAAAAAACCCAGAAATGCATGTCCAAATTCTGAAGATTAAAACATTGAAAAAACTGGAGATGCATTTTCGAATTATTCTACAACTCATAAGAACAGAAATGACAGTAATTCCTTTGATTCAAATATTAAAAAAATTAATCATTTAAACTACTTAACAAACACATTGCTTAGTTAAATAACATATTTAAACTACCTATTACATAGTTAGAGTTCGAAAGTTGAAAAGTGAGGAAGGAAAAAAAGACTTTAGTGCGTATTTGATTAAAAAATCGTCCGAAGATACATCTTTATAAGTTATATAGAGATAGACTTACGTTTTTTTTACATAACCTTAAAGCCTTACTAAAAATAAAATGTGAATAAAGTAGGTCTAGAAATATATTTTTGGATTTTAAAGATAGTTTTGATTTTTTCTCTAAGGTGAGGAAAAATGATTCCCAAAGTTTTCATGCAATTTTTTACGAGAGTTTCTTAATCCACCCCTTGATACGCTTAGCCACCTAACACATTTCCTTTTATGCCCCTTGCTTCTAAAGCTGTATCTCTAGACGCACCTTTTTTTTTCTTTACGCTGGATGCTTCCGGAGACACATCTACGATAAAAGTTCCGTAGATGCATCTCTGAAATCTTACCAGAACAGGTTTTTTTTAAAAAAACATCCAGTTTTGTTGGTTGCAGATGGAAATTAACTATTGCAAATGAATATAAAATAACATACATCCGTAAATAAAATAATATGATATATATATATATATATATATATATATATATATATATATATATATATATATATATATATATATATATATATATATATATATAGTACATCAATGTCATCAAAATATAATACATAGAAAAAACACCACAATCACTAATGTGTGTGCCTGACAACATCTTCATCCTATCATCTGTTTATGCCTTCTCTGCCTCGACCGCCCGGTCTGCGTCCTCGGTCATCGATCCCACCCGTCCTGGTGCGATGTCTGCAGTACATAAGTGCCACCGCAATCATCCCATCCAATATACGCTTGTGGTCAAACCCTCAGGGAAGAAACTAACGTCAATGCCTGCCCATCCCATCTGCACTATCTGATGCCAGCGAGGTAGGACATCCTATGTCTGGTCTAATTGAGGTTGTTGCTCCTCTAAAATCTCCTGATGAGCTGGTCTGGGCGGCGATCCTTCTGCAGTGGGCACCATGTAGGGGTGTGAGACGGTGAAGAACCACATGATGTAGCCATCAACTCAACTCTAGTCTCTCGGCGCTCTGGTTTCCTGAGCCTCGTCCAGTACCATATGTCTCTGATAGTCAGCATAGATCTCCTCTATTTGCATATGGGTCAAGCCGAGAGGAGCGGAGACAACTGGGCATCTGTGTATTGTCTGTGTGCATCCGAACTACCGCATGACGCGCTCGTGCAAATATGGAACAGTGATGGTCGAACTGCATGTCAACCATCCTAAGAATAGTGAGATGTCATCAAACGGACGCGTCACACGGTGATTAGCATATATATCATAGCGGGTGTCCTCAGTAGCTAAGCGGTCGAGATAGACTCTATAAGGGTCGACCGACTGGTTCCCCCTGAGCGGGAGAAAGGCACAGGCACGCGGGATCAGCTCTGTGTAATCAGGCACACTCTCCCACCCGACGATCATGGGAAAGTGGTGAAATATCCAAGCCTGAAATAAAAACAAAAAACATCAAGATCAAGCATTATCACGAATATAGAATGAAAAGAAATGAAAAAAAACAAAGGATATAAGATTGTTACCACAAGTAGTGACACGCTGCCTGCCACAGTCTTGGTCTTCCACAGGCATCCCTCTTTCAGCCTTGAATACATGTACGCCAGTGTAGCTGCCCCACAGTTGTACTCATGGACCTGTGTTGAATCCAAAAAGTACCTGAGGTAAGCGATATCGGTATATGTGGAGTTCGTGTCCACAAATAGCTGAGTGCTGACTAAAAGTAGAAAATAACACCTCAGCACACGCTGCCTGTGTATCTCAACATCAGCTGGATCACCATCTGCATGCCATGCAGCAGCGAGCGCCTCACTAAATCTACGCGTCAGAAAGGAGAACCTCACATGAGCCCCTCTAGTCTTATCCACCTCCTCAAGTGCATCCAGTGGATCAGCCTCAAGCTCATCCACCAACATCTCTCTTGCATCCTCCTTCGTCATCCTACCGTGATGGAGGAGGGTATCCCTGATCGATATATGTAACAAGCAAGCGATGTCGTCCAGTGTAATCATGATCTCACCATGCGATAGATGGAAGAAGGACATCTCAGGGTGTCATCTCTCTGCAAAGCCCATCAGCACCTCGTTGTGGATTAGGCCGTAACCGATCTCACAAAGATCCTTGAAACCATAGGCGACAAGGACTTCCTGGAACCAAGCCTCCTGTGGCTAGTTTAAAGCTAATATCTTCCGCCCATGGTTATAAAACTTCTGCGGAGGACGAGTCTGAAAATTTCCATAAATAAGAAATAGTGGTACAAATTATAAGTTTCCAATGAAAAAAAAGAAATAATCTGAGTAATGTTACCTCCCCATCTCAGACATGTCTGGAATTATGGTCAGCGTACCCTGTCAACAGAGACATATCTGAGGGACCCCCTAGGAAACCCTCAGGCTCATCATCATCGTCGTCACCAGCATTCTCTGATGGTGGGTCATCACCCTCTAGAGGTGGCACCTAATCAACATCATCGACAGGAGGAGGAACATGAGTATCTTGACGAGGCCTGCGGGAGGACGGAGCTTGTGATGAACCCTCAGCTGAATCCTGACGCCTCCGAGATGAAGAAGTGAATGATGGGGTGAGATACGAGGTCGAGGGAGTGCCCTGGGCATGTGATGAAGAAGATTGTGCCTCAGTAACGGCCTGACTCCGCTCGCGTCTGACAAATGCATGTTGTGAAACTCGTCCAAGTCACAATCTATCATCTCTATCTGCCATAATTTCTGCAAGGTATAACCAAGAAAAAACAATTAGATACAAACAAATTTTAAAAAAAATTAACATTTTTTTACTTCCGGATATGTACACACGGAAAACTTCCGTAGATGTATCTACGAAAAACTACTGTATCTACGGAAGTACCTAGAATTCATAACGTTTGATTTGTTCCGGAGCTGCATCTACAAAATTGCCCTAACGTTAATTTGTTCCATAGATGTAGCTTCAGAACTTTCTACAACTCTAACAGTCACGACAATGGCCTCCCATGACGCCCACTACTCATGAAAATCGGTTTTTTGAAGCCCTGGTCGTCAGTTTCAGCCAACAAACAATACCTACATTGTTTCTAAACTATGTTTTAAAACTATCTAAGTATTTCTACCCCTAAAACTATATTCTAACTCGCTTACAGGAAATACTCGAAAATATCTCGGAAACTCAAAAAGTTACCGATTATAACAAGCTTTGAATGATTTGAAGTATCTTGACCGTTGAAATGAATGTTCCTTGTCGAACTCAATTTAAAAAAATTAAGTTTGGTGAAAAATGATTTTTTTAGAATTGAGAGAGTTTGGAGAGTTTGAGAGTGAAGAAGATGAAAAATGAAGAATGAGAGAGGAGAAAAGACTCTGACGCGAATGTATTCAAATATGTTTCAGAGCTATATAAACGAAAATATTTTGTAGATGTAACTCCGAAAAAAACAAATGTTGAGTAAAAAATGTGTATCTGGAGATACATCTCCGAAAAGTGAGAGTATTTTTTGGAAGCGCACGTGGTGCCTAATAACCCAAAGGGTGGGGGTAAGAAATTCTCTTTTTTACACCCGTCTATTAATTGGGCTTGGGCTATTCAATAAATAGTGGCCCAACAATAAAGACCCATATGTACAAACAAGGGAGCATGGTCAACGGTGGAGTTTCAGACGTGAGAGGAAGAGGGAAAATGGCGATAACACTGAACAATGGCTTCAAGATGCCAATAATTGGACTTGGAGTTTGGCGAATTCAAGGACAAGAAATCAAAGATCTTATTATCAATTCAATCAAAATCGGTTATCGTCATTTTGATTGTGCTGGTAATTTTTCTTTCCTTTTACTCCTTCAAATTTGGAAATTAACCATGATTTTTATCTAATTGACGAGATTTGAATGTGTTGTAGCTGATTACAAAAACGAAACCGAAGTTGGAGAAGCGCTTAAAGAAGCATTTGACACCGGACTCGTGAAGAGGGATGAACTTTTCATTACCACCAAGGTTAATTTTTACAATAAACATTGTGTATTATATTCTTTGTTTGTTTAGTGGTGGTGATTGATTGGTTTGAGTTAATTAGTGGTATTTGGCATTTGAATCTGATTTCAGCTATGGAACTCTGATCATGGACATGTTGTTGAGGCTTGTAAAGATAGTCTTAAGAAGCTTCAGTTAGATTATCTGGATTTATATCTTGTTCACTTTCCTGTTGCCACAAGGCATACTGGTATGTTTGGCCTTTCTTTTTAAGTTGTGGCCGAGAGTGCCACGATTAGTTGCACTTTTAATCCTTAAATCAGCAAGCTAGAGAGTAGTGACCAGGCGATGTTATTGGCCGCAATAGATAACTATGAATTTAACAAGTGATCTAAAGCGCTCGTATATGTGTTCTATAATAGTAACAATTTTGTCACATTCCTCACATGTGTAGGGGTTGGTACTACTGATAGTGCTTTGGGTGAAGATGGTGTCCTGGATATAGATACAACCATATCCCTGGAAACTACTTGGCATGCAATGGAAGGTCTTGTTTCATCGGGCTTGGTTCGCAGCATTGGGATCAGGTCTAATTTTGCGCTGCAAGCAATCATCCTTATTTCTTCTAGTGGATGCTTTGGAATTGTTTTTTATGAATTCAGTTTATGTGATGAGTTTAAATTCTATGCATTTGTAAATAGTAAAATGATGAAAGATAAAAACAACCTATCTTGATATTATATTACTAATAGCCTCTCTGGGTGATTAAGCGGTGAATTGCATTGACTTTTACATGTATTTTCAAGACTTTTGTGTCCATAACTTTTGTGGTCTAGTATTGACTTGAGAATTGTTTGATTCTATTCAATGAAATTAGAATCTAACTAAGAACTATTTGCAGCAACTATGATATCTTTCTGACTAGAGATTGTTTAGCATACTCCAAGATAAAGCCTGCTGTGAATCAGATTGAAACTCATCCATACTTCCAGCGTGATTCTCTAGTCAAATTTTGTCAGAAGCATGGAATTTGTGTAACAGCCCACACCCCACTAGGAGGTGCTGCAGCTAACACAGAATGGTTTGGTACTGTTTCATGTTTGGATGACCAAGCTCTCAAAGTGAGTTTTCTTCCACCCATTCTCTTTCCAAAATCAGTAAATGTAACTAATTTGAGTGCCGTCTTTGTGTTGCCAATTTGGTTTCAGGGTCTGGCTGAGAAATACAAAAAGACTGCTGCCCAGATTGCTCTTCGCTGGGGCATTCAAAGGAACACTGTTGTCATTCCCAAAACATCGAAACTGGAGAGATTGAAAGAGAACTTCCAGGTATTTGATTTTGAGCTGTCTAAAGAGGATACAGATCTCATCAGTAATATGGACAAGAAATATCGAACTAATCAACCTGCGAAGTTCTGGGGCGTAGATCTTTACGCTTGAGAATGCTCTTCCTTTTTAAGCATGTATCAAGGTCCCTCAACTAAGAAAGAAAACATCATGGCAGTTCAACTTTGAGGCTTGTATTGACATTCTGATTTGGCATATTCTAATCTTTTGGGCCATCCATAGTACTAGCTCATTTTAGTAACGAATGTAAAATTATCTACCATCCTTATGAAAAAATTATCTACCGTCATTATCGTTTGAGTTCATAATGAACTATCCTTATGAATTATGCTTGCTTCATAGTCCATTTGGTCATCTAATAGACAGTTTAGTTTATAAGTTTTTGAAATATTAAACTGAAACTTCTCTATCCAACGGCAATTCTATGGTTTTACTTTCTTGTTTAATTTAAGTTGTAGTTGGTGTGGAATTTTTCTTTACCAGCTTCCTTCCGGGCTTCTTTTGTAATCGGGATTTGAGTACCCTAGTACTCCTTTAATCAAACCTTGCTTTTAAAAAAAAGGTTTTTGCATGCAGATTTTCTCAATTAAAACTTGATTTTTAGTTTAGAGTATGCGAAACTTGAGATGCTGCCAAAGAATACAAGTGAATTCTTATTTACTTAACTTAAAAAATTGGGTAATGTGTAAAATACTTTGAAAATGATAAAAAATTATGCTATTTAATAAATAATTAAATATGCTATACTTAAATGATATTATATGATTGATCGGAGTTATATCACTCAATTTTTTTTTTGTGACGAGTAGAGAAGTTGTCTTATACAATTTATTAAAAATTAACGTTACAAAATTCTTTTTGTAATGAGCAGAGAAGTTGTCGTATACAATTTTATTAAAAATTAATATTATAAAATAAAAATAATTGATTATGATTGAAACAAATGAAATAATAAAAATTAATTAATTAAACTAAATTAATAAATATTATTAAAAAGTATATATTATTGAATAATAAATTAACATAACCAATCATATTAGTAAAATATATCATATTAATAAAAAATAAGGTTTAATATCTTTTTGGTCCCGTAACTAACTTCGGGATTCATTTTGAAATTTCGAGTTTTATTTTAGTTTCTTAATTTAAAAAGAGTTCATATTGTTCTCTTAACTCTTTAAAATATTTCATTAACGACGAATTTAATCACTGATTAATGAATTTTCGTCGCTAATATGATAAAAAAGACTAATATATAACGTTTTAAAGAGTTAAAGGACCAATATAAAACTTTTTAAAGTTAAGAAAAAAAAACCCTAAAATTAAAATACGAGACAGAAAAAATATTAAACTTATAAAAAATAAGTATAAAATATATGTACGCGGTTTGATTCGGTTTAGATCGGTTTTAAAAAATCAATTTAAAATCCGATCAAACCAAACAATTTTTACAAAATAACGTATGAAAGTATTTAATAATAATCAATTTTTTACGGTTTTCAATTTTTTTTAATTGTCTGTGATTTTTATTTGGATAATTTAGATTTAAATATTCCTAAGTATATTTGTAAACAATCTTAACAATCTTATTGAAATAAGTTTATAACAGTTTGTAAACTAAATATTCCATAACCAATTTTAAGTTTGTCCAAACACTTGCAAACTATTTTAAAGGCATCCTAAATCTAATCAATAATCATTCAAAAATAGGAGTATCAAAGCTTCTTCGATATATATATATATATATATATATATATATATATATATATATATATATATATATATATATATATATATATATATATATATATATATATATATATATATATATATATATATATATATATATATATATATATATATATATATATATATATATATATATATATATATATATATATATATATATATATAACTTTTCAACTTCTCTCAAAAACATAATATAACTCTCACTCATTTTAATCAAATATTTTTTTAACATTTTTCTTAATATCTACTTATGTTCATTCAAACCAAACACTACACGAGCTTTTATTATTTGTCATTTAAACTTGCACATTCATCTCTCACATTTAAATTTCTCATATCTTTGTTTTTTTATTGCATGCAAATCCTTAATAGCTTAATAATTTATAATTAAATCTCATTAGATTACATCCAATAGAAATGCAATTCCTATTTTTATTTGGTCTAAATTTGGGATATTTAAGGGTCAGGGTTGATGTTGTTGGGGTTGGTTGAAAATATATATATTAAAAATGTCTCACATCGCTTAGTTTTGTGAGTGAAGAGAGAGTCCAAGGTTATATATATGATACAAGTTATTTGAAGTCTCACATCGCTTAGTTTTGTGAAGGAAGTGGGAGTCCAATACTATATATAAGATTCAAGTTCTTCATTCCAAGATTTACTAGTCAAAAACATTTTAAACTTGTATTTGATTTTTTTTTATATTTTCTCTTATACTCTTGGTTTTAGAGTGTTGTGAGGGGTAATTAAATATTTGTTTTGGAGAGTGTGGTTGTATTGGTGTCTTGGGGTGGTTGAGGGTAGTCTATGTGTTGTAACAATTTTCACATAGCGTTATTCTCTTGTGTTGTTATTGTGTTCATCTTTTTTCTCTATTCTTGTTTTTTCCTAACAGATGTTCGGTCTGATTTTGCTCTCTGAGTGTAATCCGAATTTCAAAACTCGAACCCTTAATACGAATAACAAAATCCAAGTTTTTCTTTTTGTCATCATGTTTCTTATTTTTATTTGCTTATACATTTTTTCCTGCTCTTTTTATTATGATTGTCGCTACTTGAAAATGCAACGACGGAGAGGCGAGAACAGAAAGACAGAAGAGTCGCCATCGAACTTTATTTATCCCGAAAGGGGAAGGGGAAACATCGAAAAAATCCCAAGGAAGAAACGGATAAGATGGTCTCGCAACCAAGAGAAAGGGTTCAGAAGCCGGTTATGCAAAGGGAAGGTATTAGCACCCCTCGCATCCATCGTACTCGATGGGAACCATTTGTTTGTCTATGCGTGAAGGTGACTGCTAAAGGTTATTGTTATAAAGAGTGTTCTAAGGGGAAGAGAAAAGTTGGAAACAGGGAAAAGAGACTCGGTAGGACCTCGCGGTCCTATGCCTATGTATTCTCAACAGATATGAGAAAGTCAGAGTCAACGTAATTCAAAGAACTACAGATAAAAAGATGGAAGAGTGTGCTCGGCAAGGATTGGGGCCCTTGTGCCTACGTATCTTTACTTAAAACAAGTAAAGAATAAGAGCATTCGTAGTTCGGCCTATGGTTTATTGGTATTTTTATGGAAGATGTTAGTGTGTACATTCCAGCAGTTAGGTGTATTGCAACTCGCTTATGGAGTCTTAGGCGTTATCTGTTTGCGATAGAACGGACGTAACATATCCTTTTGAAAAGAAATAGTTTTCACCATCAAGGCAAGATGTCACATTTGATTTGTGGAAGTTATTTTTAAGGGTGAAATAGGTCTTCGGATAGTAACCCCTTGCGGGTAATACCCAATTCTTTATCTCAAAAAGATTTATTGTGAAAATGGTGTGGCGAGTATAGTCACGTCTTCGTATTGAAAGACGAGTATCGAGATCACACACTCTAAAGTGGGCATCCTAATACTCGGAGAGGAAGAAGTCTTCACTCAATCCTCTCTCTTTAGTTCGATACAAAGAGAACTTCATTCTCTTATTAAAGATATTTTGATCTTGAATGGTAAGTGCTTTATGACAGTAAACCCTAAAGGTATTGTCAAGCACTCGGGATAGGTGAAGGTCTTCGCCTAACCACTCCACAACCATCCAAGTTTGTTGGGAAAAGAGTTTGAAAATGCACTTGGTACGAGATCAAGGTTTTTTTGAGGAGAAAAGTTTGAAAAGAAGTTTTGAAGAGTGAGTGTGGTGAATAGATCAAGGTAAGTTGATGGTGATGCGTGAAGCAATCGACTTACAAGGGTTGAATACATACAAGGTTAGTGATTTGAGGGAAGAGGGTTGAAATGAGAAGGATAAACCCTAAGGTGATCCAATTTAAAATGAGTTTAAAAATGACTTGACGTTGGATCAAGCCTCATTTGTTCTTTATTTTGAAAACGTGTTCTAAACTAATTCATTTTTATCTTTCTTTACAAGTAGCAAGCAAGCATGAAAATAACTAAGCTATTACACTGTAACGGGAGAGGGATACATATAAAATATAGGGGATTGCGAGAAATAAATGGTCTCATTGTTAGGTAGCCCAAGAGAACGCCGTGTGTGTGCGAGGTGTCCTGAACTAATCAAAGAACAAGAATTTGGACAGAAGCATCCGAACTAGGGTTTATGTACAAGGCCTAAACTTTAACATCTAAGATAATGGTCAACAGTCCACCAAATTAGGATTTTTAGGGTTTCGATAGTTTTATCTTGTTTTTGGTATTTTTGAATGAGATAAACAAAGAGATGGGTTAGATGACACTATATGTAATATGACAGGATGTAATATGAACAATGATGATAAGATGAGCGAGATAATAAACAAGATAATATCAACAAAAATATAAACGGAAAATATGTGCAAGAATATATAAACAGTGATATATTAACAGAAATGTAAAGCAATTATATTTAACAAAAATTAAAGTCAAAGGTTAAAGATTAATTGAATGAAATAGGTCAAAAGGAGTGGGATCTCATCTTAATCATAAAATCGTGTCAATTAACCGAAGGTAATCTCTCACGATCCCAAAGTATAGAAAAATGATCCAAATGATCATTTTCTACATATTTGAAATAATAAAGATTAGCGACTTCGATAAGTCAACATTTACTAATGTAAAGACTTCATTGACCGATAAAATAAAATAAAATCCAGATGAATTTGAAAATAAGGTTATACCCACCCTATAACCACCATCAAACATTGCACAAAATGCATCTGAAGAAGCAAGTAAACAGATTCTGTGGGCATAAAACCGTTTACCTGCAGTTAAATATAAAGATACCTAGTTATCTGCAAATGTCAATTGAAACTATGACAAGACATTTCATGCAAGTTATTTTTTAAGAAACATTTCCTGAAAGAACCAATTTGGAT